TAGGAGATGGACAGAACAAGTAAAATTCCTGCTTTCTACTGCGGGAAACAAAATAACACAGTAAAATATGTAGTATATTAGAAAGTGAGCATTTCTAATGCTAAAAAAATGAAACAGGGAAGGAAGATACAGTGTTCCTCTTGCTTACAGTCTTCAGCACACGCTCTTCCTTCCGCCTGTTTTAATGAAATATATTTCCTCTACGTGGCCTGAACTCTCTGATCCCTCTCTAGCTCACTTAGCCTTTTGATCTCAACTTGGACATATCTTCCTCCTAAAAGCCTTCTTTTTCTTTCAGTACCCATCTCCCATGCCCCTCCTATATGATTTCACAGCTTCCTCTATCACAGTGTTCTCTCTCTAACTTGCCACTGCCTGCCTAGATGTTCACATTCCCCATAGTACGCAAGCCCCTGGCCACCCACCTCATTCACTGTTGGATCCTCAGCATCCGGCACGGTTCTGGTGTCCAGTGAAGTGAATACTGTTGGGTGGTGGGAGGTTTGCTGGTTGAGTAAGTGGGTGGGTGGATGGATGGATCGATCGATCAATAAACACACTGGACACAAGCAGCAAAAAAGACAGAACCTGAGAAACACTGAGAGATCAGGACTATTGGCAACAGCAAGTACACACGGACCAGGGTGGAAATCTGACAAGCAGAGAGAACAGCACGCAGACCGGGGAGACCACCACACCAAGGCAGGCACCCCCACTGTCCGCTTGCCAGCTGCTCCTGCTGCTGGTTACATTCTTGCTACCCTGCATCAAGAGGACACCATGAAAAAGGAGAAGCATTGATTGAAAAATTCCTTATAATGATTTTCTTACTTTTATCTTGTAATTGACAAATTCTCTCTGATACACGTTACTTCCAGAGTCATTTACCTGGTCCTAGCTGTCTGTGGATGAGTAGTAGGAGACAGCTGATTGCTTTAATTTTTAAATCTCTTTGCCTAAGTCTAAGGATTTCACAACAGAAGATCCCACGCCTGGCTTCATCAGCTATTGACTAAAAATTTAACAGGGCCCTTTTTCTTTTAGCAGTTACTGAAACTTTTACAGCTACGGAACTTTTAGGTTTCGGATATTATTTATCCAGTATCCACTCAACAAATATCTACTTTTTGACTGGCACTGCGCCACATGCTGGGGCACAAAGATGGATAAGATATGCTCCCCGCTCTCGATGGCCGTCACGTATGGCAGCAGTCGTCAGACCAGGCATGCGTGCCCGTGGGGATACGCACGGACTTTCCAAGGGGGACGTGGGCATGAATAGTGCTAACAGAATCCACGCTCAGGTCCTTCAACTGCCCTGCCAGGAATGTGCTTGCAGGGCAGTCAGGCCAGTGCTCCTTTTCCACTCCTCTTTCACAACCACCCTGCCCCACTTTACAAAGAAAGACTTAGCTCTTACCCATTAGGTATGTTGCATGTTGTTCCAACTGTGCCAGTAGCCATGCTACCTCCATGTGAAAAAATACTGAAGGAACAACTGAAAATATTAAAGGTGATCTCCTATGAGGGAGGTGCTGTAACTCTCCCAGACATCTCATAAATAGATGCATCTCCAATAAATTTTTATTAAGCAAATTATTTTTTTCAAATTTATAATATAAGTGTGTTTTGATCTGTTGGTTACTAAAAATAATTGTAGCATAAAAACGCAAGCTGGTAAAACATTTACTACTTAGAGACTGATGTTAGGAAATTTTGTTCACTTAAAATTTCAATGTATATACTTATTTTTGTTGCAGAGAAATGCGATAGGATGACAATAAAAGAATTTCACACATAATATATATATTACTACATAAAATAAAATTCTGTGGGGAAAGAGAATGGAAATATAGGTTCTAGAGGGGAAAGAATCAATTTAAAATTTTCATCTTAAAGAATAAATTATTCGTGTTTTTCTCAACAGGTGATGAGTGGACATTAAATGCCATTGGTATTTAGATTCCCTTAGATGCATTTAATGCATAAAAGAATGTTATAATGGCTTTACACTAAAATTCAATATTCACAAATTTGCAGGACGTTACATCTTTTGTTACCATTGAAATTTGTGATTTTAGGCCTCAATTCTAAAAAGTATAGGGAGAGCACAGTTTTTCAAAACTATTTTCAAGAGTAAATGAACAAACCTGTGAAGACCACCAGTACACGAGAGCAAGACCAGTGAGCAAAGTCGTTATAAGGTATTTTGGGCACTGGAACAGAAGCTTGAGTTGGACTGTGGAGCTAGAAGGAGGAGCCGTCAGGTCTGTTTGGAGAACCAGGAAGGTCTTTCCTAACAGATGGTAATGGTTTATCTCAAAAAAAAGAAGTGTGTGCACGTGTGCGTGTGTGTGCATGGCCTCTCAGAGAAACCTGAAACTTTATTATCTATCAGTTAATGATGAAAATAGTAGAGAGTTATGTAAAGATTAGATGCGATCATGTAAACAGGGTGCTTCATAAATGTTAGCTCCTCCTCCCTGTGCTGCCTTTCTTTCTTATTCTCTGGAATCCACTGACGTGCCCCTAATTCCAGCACAGTTCTAGCCAAAACATACTTTTATTTATAGTGACTGCCCCAAGAAAGGTTGTGTTTATAATCGTGTACTCTATTGTCTTTTATTCTGTGCCAGCTTCCAGGCTCACTCACTTTCTTTCCATTTCCCTGGTGCTCGAATCCAAACATGGTTTTGCCAGCAAATTTCCCAAGTATCCTTTTATTCTGTCTTTGGGAAGATTATTAATGAAGATGTTAAATCAGGCTGACATAAATAATAATGCTTAACGCAGTCCTCCGCATGCTTTTGTTCCACTCATCAGAGACACGGTGTCATTTATCATTAGGTCTTGCTATCATTTTCCAGCCCCTTGAAAAACTCCCATGAAGACACTCAGTTCCATATCTCCTCGAATTAGTCTTGCAAGTGAACGCTCAGGAGTTACTGAATTATATGTCACCACAAGGTAGAAGATCTGTTACATCACACTAACCTATCACTCTCTGCTCTCATAAATCTCGACAGTCAAAACAAATTAGTCTAGCATGCTATTTCTAATAAACATTCTCTTTTGTTGTACGTGGCTCATGCCCAAAAGGAGATAATAAACCAGGTGATAAAAGTAGCAAAATCTCATCAGCAGTTCCAACGTGGTCAAGTGGTAAATAACGAATGGTGACTTCCTGGCGAGGAGAGGAATGACTAGCAATAAAACCGCCCGTAGGAGGGCCAGTGTAAAACTCTGCCTCGTGAAACTCAGCTCCACAAAGGCCTGGAGAGAAACCGCTGTCTGGGTTCAGGACCAAAAATAGTGGCAGTTTTCTGAACTCGCTCTTTCCTCGTAGATCCTTGGTTGTGTTACTCACAGAGGCTCTCTCCTCACTTCCTGAAAAAGCTGAGCATTGCACGGGAGGCTCAGTTACAGGAGTAGGGGCACAATGGTGGGATGTTTTCAGTCTCGCTCCAGGCTCCAGTTAGCTCCACATTGTTTCCTTTCCTTCTTCCCCTCACCTTTTCATTTCACTGTGGCCCAATAACACAGCATAACGTTTACCATGTTCACCATTCTAAGTGCAGATTTACACTGCTGTGCAATCATCACCACCGTCTCTCTCTGGACCCTTTTTATCTTGCAAAACTGAAGCTGCGTAGCCATTAGATAGTAGCCCCCTTTCCCGAGCCCAGGCATCTCCGTTCTTCCTAACTCCGCGAATTTCACTGTCCGAGGTACCTCGCGATAAGCAGAAGCATGTAATTTCTCCTCACTTTGAATGGATGCTATCTTCCTGCGTTTTTTGTGTTTATAACCCTGCTTGAAACAAAATAGAGAATGAATGAATAAAGAAAGAAAGAGAGTAAGACGCGTTCCAGGGCCCAGACGCGCTCCATTCTATGCAGATCAAGTCGGTGGCGAGGCCACAATGTTTGCTAACTAGGATAAAACGCTGTAAGAAACAGTCATTATCTAAATAGTTCATGTTCAGACAAGCAGCATATTTAAGGTAACAGTAAGGTCAAAGGAAAGACTGAACATAGTAGAGTTTCCTACAAGGAAAGAAACATCAAGATAATTGAACAAGGAAGCAATTGTAGATTCAAACTGAGACCGAATGGGCTAAATGCCAGTATCCTAGGTCACCAGCCTAGTTACTGACAGAGCCGCTTCCATTGCAGTGGTTCCCAAGCTTTAGTGCACATAAAAATTAATCAGCACAAACCCACCAAATCAAAACTATTGCCCTGGCTGGTTTGGCTCAGTGGTTAGAGCATCGGCCTGCAGACTGAAGGGTCCCGGGTTCAGCTCCGGACGAGGGCATGTGCCTTGATTGCAGGCTCGATCCCCGGCCCTAGTCCAGGCACATGCGGGCGGCAGCCAATCGGTGTGGCTGTCTCACATCTGTGTTTCTCTCTCTCTCTCTCCCTCTCTCTCTGAAAAACAATGGACGAAATATCCTGGGGTGAGAATTTAAAAAATTAAAATTTTAAAATTTAAAAAAATTAAAACTATTGACTGGGACTCAGGAGTCTGTGTCACCCGCTGCCCAGGCGGTTTACAGAGGAGGTTTCTTATGCGTGTTTGGAAACAGCGGTGAGTGCAGCAGGTCAGAGAGGCTGTGCGGCCTGCCTGGTTGAGTCGTATAATCTTGGCCTACATCCCGACATCGCCCCATGGCCTCCATTGCTGCCTGTCTGCATCTGCTTCACTTTCTTCGCCTTTGAGTGTTGCCTGACCGAGCTGTCAAAAATGGGCTGAGGCAGGAGTGGACACGCTAGGAACAGACCCTCATGCAGGCCTCCACTGTAGCGTCAGCAAGGGCCACTATCCTGCCGTCATTACAGCCTTGAGACTAGGCTCTGGGTGGTTTTATTTCGTGTTTCTTTTTCCGTCTGCCTCTTTGTCAGCAACGAGGGAAAATACCGGCCTCAGGGAAGCTGCGTTCAGCGCGAGAGATCAGTATCTAGCTTCCCTCTCATGTACAGCTTTAATTTTCTTTCTAGAATATGTCTGTGCTGGAGAATCACCACTGGCGATCTACGATTGGCATGCTTCGAGAATCCAGGCTTCTTGCTCACTTGCCAAAGGAAATGACGTAAGTAGCGTAGAGATGAAGCACACTGATGCCCGCGCCTTAGAGATAAGCCGCTTTCCCCCGGGCCACGCTTGAGACCCCCGCGGTTAATGGTAGGGAGCCGGCTTGCCATGCCTCCTGCCTGCCCTCGGCGTTGTCTGTCGGAGATTCGGTGTCGTTCCTGCAGCCCAGAAACCAGAATCGCTCTGGGAGCTCCGAACGGGCCTTGGATCTCCTGGGAGCTCACGTCGGGGGGGCGGGAAAGAATGAAAGCTTCCTCTTTTGCTTTCTTCAGCACCAGCACTCTGCTCTGCCAGATTCCTGTCTTCTACGTTAACAGCATTGTCCTTCTGTGTAGACCCAAATAATAAATATTTATCAAAAAAGAACAAAGGAGTTCTCAAGCTAGTTTTAAGACTGGTTCAGTGAAGTTGGTTTCATAACTGCCAGTCTCCGTGAAAATAGAAGTTAGGATTTTTTTCTAAAATGTCTTTTGTTAAGTACCTGAATTGGCCCCAACAATTTTTTCACCATTCACTTACCTATGTGTCTTGTATTTTAAACAGAATGAGAAATGCTAGTTTCCTGGTCTGCTGTCTGCTAGCCCGAGTATTTAGGCCGAGTCCTACTAAATCCAAGGCCATTGCCTCATTTGTCTACATGGCCCCAAGGTAGCTGCTGTACTGTCTCCCAAGGCCAGCACAGATTCTGATCTGTTTAATTAAAATGCACAGAACCCGAGGTAGATAGGAGAGCAGTAAATAAATAGACCTCTGTAGCCTTCCATCTGAAGGGCACGTAGCTTCAGGTCAGTGGCCAGTTATGTCTCTCCATAGACCAGGCCCTGTGCCCCGGGCTCGCTGGTTTATTCCTGGCCATCTGATGCTATCTCATGCCGTTTCCTAGCACCCAGAGGCAGGTTGAATTTGCAGGAAGAACTTGAGTTCTGATAACTTTTTACTCCCAGGAACTAAAAGCCAATGGTGCATGGACTCAAAACTCAGTGCCTTTCACTAAAATAATAAATTGCAAAGATCAAAAGAAATGCAAAAAGAACCAAAAACTAGACAAGAAGTCAAGTAAGAAGGCGCTGAGAAGAGGAGGTTAGTGGCAGGGTCGGGGAAGGAAGGAAGG